ACGGGCACCCCCCGTAGACATCCCGGCCCGGCCCGGCCCGTGCAGCGGGGGTCATTACACACCTGGATGAATCACCCGCCACACGGCCCGGCCGAGGAGAGGGCGCCACTTTGCGCCTCGCAGCCGCCGCCGCCCTGCGCCGCCCGAGTGGACAGCGAAAAAGCGGAATAAATTAATGCGATGATCGCTCTGGTGAATATGAGGCGGGCGGCGGCAGCCCCCTTCACCTCCACCTCCACCTCCACACCCCTAGCAGTGCTTTAGTGCCGGGCCGATATTTTTTTTCCTCCTTTTTTTCGTGGACAGAAAAGTAGGAGGAAAGAAGTCTCTTGGAGCTCGACGGACAATGGGTCAGGTTATCAGGAAGTGTGCTGATCGAAGTGGGAGAGCAGGAACCGAGAGGGACCGGGGGGGGGGGGGGGGGGGGAGGGGGGGGGGGGGGGGGGGGGGGGGGGGGGGGGAGAGGAAAGGGGGAAATAAAGAGGGACAGAGCGGTCTGTTCTCTGTCCGGAAGAAGGTAAAAGGGGTGGGGGTGGTAGTCGACTGCAGCGCCGTGAGCCGTGAGGCCGTGTCATTAGTCTGACGGGCGGGGCCGGGACCACCCGGCGAGACCAGCGCCAGCGGGCAGCGCGGCGCCGAGAGTGTGCACAGACAGACGGACAGACAGACAGACAGACAGACAGACAGACAGACAGACAGACAGACAGACAGACAGACAGACAGACAGACAGACAAAGCGGTGCACCGCTGGCACCCTGTACCGCCCCGCCCCGCCTTGCAGTCGTCCAGGCTGTGCCCAAGTTTGAGCGGCGACCTCAGCTTTGGCTCGCCCGGCGGACGGACGCCGCGCACCCGGGCCAGCAGCTCATCAGCATGGCCCATGGCAGCAGCTTTTCGTTTTTCTTTCCCCCCTTCAACACGAGAAAAAATAAATAAAAATAAAAAAGTTTAAGACAACGCTCCATCATCGCCTGACAAGTGGCGGGCGGCACACCGCGGCGGGGAGAGAGTGAGAGGGGGAGGTGGGGGTGGGAGCAAGTGAGTGGGAAGGTGGGGGTGGGGGAGGGAGAGAGCCAGTGCCTGGAGCGCGCCACCACCGCCGCTGACTTGGAGAGGGGTTGAGGGAAGGAAGGGCCACACTCCCCCCCTTCCGCCGTCGGAGGCCAAGCAGCCTTTGAATCGCGTGTTAATTCTAAAAGTAATGTCGTCCCTTGGCGTTTAGGCCCGGGGCGCTGCTCCCTGATAGCGCTGCCTGGCCGCGCAGCTCCGGCGGCGCAGAGCCACGGGATTGGCAGAATTAATTAACCCTTTCGGCCGGTCCCTCTCGGACCCTTTTGGGGGCGGGCCGCCGCCGGGGCCGGACACCTTGGCGGCGAGGCCCGCCGGAGCTCGCCTCCAGCTCAGACTCTAGCGTCTGGAAGGCGGCCCCGCCGGTGCGCGTGAGTGCCGCCGTCTGCTCCGTCCTCAATGGGGCTTTAGCAGAACCTGCGCTCGATCTGGTCGTCAGGACTGGGCACAACCAACCAAGCTTCGTCACACTCTGCGAAAATTTCCCTTTCAAAGATTTAACGCCACGTAAACTAGTGGTTTCTAAAAAGGGAGAAAGGGGTCGGGCATAGGGCATAGAACCATAGAACAAAAAACAAAAGCAGAAAAACAGGTCTTTCACCCCATCAGGTCAGTTGAGGAGGAGGACGACGACGACGCCGCCGTCAGCGGCAGACACGCAAATATCTCTTTCTCCTTCTCCCTATCTCGCTCTCTCTCTCTCCCTCCCCCTTCCCTGTTCTTCGGACCTCCACCCGTACGGACAGGCCGCTATTACAAACGCACCTCGGTCAATCCTTGTCCTCTGCCACGCTTCGCCCCGCGCCGAGTGTGGCTGACACCCGCCGACGGCTGACCCTCTCCTCTCCGCGCCCGGGCCTCCTCCACCGTGATCACAGACAGATCCACATGATTTCAAAATTGTTTTTATTTCACCGCTATAGTGAGAAGCTGACAGGGAACGCGCGAAAAGATGAAGCCTGAGAAATCACCAGGAAAGGTCAACCAAATAAAACACGAACTGTTTTACATTAAAATTAATTTCTTACATCACCCGTTTATAGTTAATTTTTTACATCGACCATACAGACGTGCGCTCTCTCTCTCCCTCCCCCTCTCGCTCGCCGACTATACCCACTACTGCCCTGCAGTGCCGGCCGTCGGACGTGAGTGAGTGGAGTGCGCCGCTGAAAGAAACAGAGTGGAATTTTATTCATGAAGATATTCTCCCCTTTTGGCGGCGGGGCGGGCCTGGCGGGCCGGCGCGGCGGTTGCTACTTCTTCATCTTCTGGACGTCAGCGCCCCTCGCGGCCCGCCCCCTGGCCGGGCAGGCTCTCTCCTTTCACCTCCTGTCCGGCTTGACCCCACGGCCACGCCCCCCGCTCGGATCACGTTCGCAGGCGTTACAAGATTGCTCGCAGGATTTTGCGAGAGCCTCCCGGCCCTCTCTTCCTTTAGCCCGGCCCGGGCGGCGGCGTGCGAAGGCGGGCGGGCGGCTGGCTGGCGCGGGTCCGGGGAGGTACAAATCATGGACACAAACAATGATAGGGGTCGGGATGGTGAAGAGGACGCCTGGCCCCTGCTTAAATGAGATGTGTACGATACACACTATACTCGTGAAAAAAAATGAAAAGAATTTATTTTGCGAGTGACATTTTCTTTTCATTATACGTCCACTCTCTCTCATCGCGTGAACTCTTTTCACCTATTTCAGTTCATTTGGTAGAAATAGATCGGGGATAGTGGCGTAAGATTTGACGTTGCGTGGCTTTTTTTCTAAAAGTCGCGAACACCTTTGGCGAGCAAAAGGGGGCATTACTAACGCGTTTTGTTCTCCACCGTTGCGCCAATTACACTCCATTCGCCCGGTGCAGAATGGATTATTTACCCAGCGAGCAGTCTCACAGGGAGGATGCACTCGGCTAACGCCGTACAGCCATACATACTTTAGCGCGAGCACAAGAGAAGATTGGTTTGCTTTCCTCCCCATCTCTCTCTCCCTCTCTTTCTTGCTCCATAATACTCTTTTCTCGTGCTTTGCTCTTATTTTCTCGACAAGAAACGTAACAATCGGCTTAGGAGAGGATGCAACCCAAGTCATGTTCACCCAGCAGTGGTATCTCTGCTTCCGGTCAGAGCTAGGGCGCGGCGGGGC